GATTACATCAGGCCACAAAAGAATGGAAAACCTAAGTTATACAAACCATGCAAAAATAGAAAACCTATTTTCCTGGCAGAGTACCCCTGCTTTTTAAAAGGTGTATCACAGACAGAAGTTCAACGGGCACCCCTCTCAGTAGGAACATGCAATAATGGAAGAGCTACACAAAAAAGGCATGACTGTCAAATAATTGCAGGAAAATCAATATTATCACAGCAGGTACAAATGAGGTTCGATGTGTGGCCATCGAGAGTCACCACTGCTGTAACTTCATTATAGGCCCGTCGTTGTTTTCACGACCAAGACCGCATATCTTCAGCCTTCTGTTTCAATAAAATGATTTCCCTTTCAATCTGGGCTAATACTCTTTCAGCTCTAGTGTAATTGGCTATGAATTGAATTGACACACGCTCTGCGCATTAATATACACTAGGTTTTAATTACTTCTATGCTCAGAGGTTCATAAACGATCATCTCATGCAACCCTCATAGCTTGCCTGACAGCAGGTGTGAGGAACCTTTAGCCCTCTAGACGTTACTGAACTACAACTCCCATCAACCTCAGCAAGGATGGCCAACTGCAACTTTTGGAAAGTCAAAGGTTCCCCACACTTGCATTTACAGAGACTGTGTCTGAGGACCAATCCATGCACTGTAAGCTTCCAGTTTGCTTCACAGATGTGCAGCAGGGAACACAAAAGATAGGGCAGGCACGATTGCCATTAAAAAAGAAGGAATGGGTCATCAAAAAAAGACTGAGTGAACATAGGACATAGCCTTATTCAGAGTCAGACCACTAGTCCATCTAGCTCAGTATTGTCTACACTGACTGGCAGCAGCTCTCCAGGATTTCTGGCTGGGTTCTCTCCCAGTCCTACCTGGAGATGCCAGGAATTGAACCTGGGTCCTTCTGAGTGCAGAGCTGATGCTCTACTACTGAGCTATGGCTCTTCCCTGAGAGATGACCAAAACAGATCCAAGTTCGGAAAGAAAGCCAAAGAAAGAAGATGCAGCTGCAATTTGATACAGCTCTTCCTCTTCTTCTTGAAGAATGGGGTGAGCACAGCTCTTCACACAGCAAACAACTTGAGTTGCAGGACTAGGCAAGCAGTGAGGCACTCCTTTGAGTGGGCTGGGTCTGTGAAGTTTGTTGGCGTCCTCAGTACCAGTTCAGTATCTTACTCCCAGTCACCACCCCTAAAGGGGAAGGCTCCTCACAGATAGGAGCCAGCACTGCCTCTACTGTAGGAGATGCCTGACCAGGGGCGGGGGTCCAATAACACAGGGGCAGAACACCTTGTGGTCCCTCCCCTTGATCACTGGCGTTCTCCTCCAGTTCTGACATTTCCTGAAGCCCTGGATTTCACCTCCCCAACCTTCTAGGACCTTCTCCATGTCTATCCAGTCCCAAATTCCACAATCTCCTCCCACGCCTCTTCTGGAGCTGACCTTTCTCTCCAGGACATCTCTGTGACCACCTCTGCTTGGAGAGCAACCACAAATGAGAGCATCCGGTGGAGCAAATGTCCGATCCAGCATGAAGCGACTTCATGTCCTTACCCTCATCTTGAGCAAGCTCCCTCTCTCCCCTTTGCTACTTCTTCAAAGCCCTTCCTCTGGCTAATTAGCCAACTTTCTTGAGTCTTAAGGAGGAGAATCGCTGCCAGCTGGCTAGCATCCCAGCGCTCCTGTCTGCCAGACACTCAGAGAGCAAGGAAATGTTTCTGTCAATGTCCATTGAGCAGGGGACACAGAGCGCCCAGTGAGCCTGGGCCTGCCAATGAGTGCAGAGCCTCGGAATGGTTCCATAACTGGGTCCGCAGAAACCAAAATGCTAAGCCGCAAGACGGGCTCAGTATTTTCTTTGCTGCCAAAGGCAGATTAAAATCCACCACAATGAAGAGAGAGACTCAAATATATACAAACGGCTTCTGTATTACACTAAAGGCATAATCAGCTGCATGAACTTGAGACTCTTTGGATTATTGATAAACAGCCAGTTTCTGCATAGTCGGTGGTTCACAGCATTTGTGGTATTTGGGATTTTGTATTGGTTTGGGAGGAAATGCTGTTTATTTAAAGCAAACCTATACAGAACCCCAAGCGATGAATGCTACAAAGCACCAGCTACGGCTCGCCGGTACAAGTCTGTTGCAGCAATGAGTCTCTTTCAAGTTCATGCAACTGATGGTTGGGTTCCGATTCCTTAGGGAAAGCTCTATCAGGTGCCAGCTTCCAAAAATAATTGTCTCTAGTCTGGCCAAGGGGGTTGTTTAAATGGTGCTGCCTGAAAAGTCAGTCATCACTCCACAAGACTCCCCCCCCCAAAAAAAAATAAGCTTGTGGAGCAAAAACCAATTTTAAGGTAGGTTAGGTTGCATTTTATATAGAAACACAGCTGATAACAATAAACCAGTTTTTCATAAAGGCAATGGCAGGTTTGAAGGCCATCCACACAGGATTTTTGCTTGTTGTTTGGAAGGTTTCTCCTGCCCCACAAATCAAAATTCGCTCTCTATTGCTGGGTGTGGGAAGTTGCACCAGTGGTCCTTCGGCCTTCAGCTCCTATGCTTGAACATGGTGGTAAAATTTCACCCACTGCCGCACTAAGTCACCTTAGGGAGACTCTAGCCTCCTCTTCCCTGCTCTAGCCTCCTCTTCCCTGCTTTGGCACACGGCAGAAGAGAATGGGTGAATGTACCTGTAAATCTACTCTCTTTAACATTTTGCTTTGTCGCTGCAGGTCTTGTTAAGGAAAAGCAGTGTCCCAATTCTCCTGTTTAAAGAATTGTTTGAAACCTGCAGCTGGCCTGAAGCCCAACTCTTCAATATAGCTCACATCAAAAGGATTCCCACCCCCACCCAAAATTGGCCTATTTTAAATAATCACAGAGTTCAAAAGCTAGCCGATACTTTTCTAGGATCTCTTAGAAACAAAACAAAACAATCCAGGAAATTTCTGAAGTTGAGCCAAGTAATGGCATTTGTGGGGGGTAGAGGAGAGTTGTAAACAGCCAATATTTGGGACTCCCAGCCCTGTGTTTTGAAATAAAAAGAGATCCAGCGGGAATTATGGGGTGTTGGTGGTCCTATCTTTGTTCAGCTGCTGTTGACCAAAATGCAGTAAGAGGCCCATGGAGTAGTGAAAAGAACATTAGGTCTGGATGAAGCCATTTCAGGCTCAAACAAGGTCCTACAAAACTCATGGGATAGTTTTGCACAAGCCAGGAAGGAAAATGCCTTACCAAAAAAATGCAATACCTCTTCAGTTCATCCCATTTTCACGACATTAAAAATCAGCATGAAAAATTCACACCCACTTTTGTGCACATCTCTCCTAATACTGTATGCTCATTTAAGCATTTGTGCACCTTTCTAGGGCATATTTATATGTTATTCAGGGGGGAAATCCCCACATTTTTGCACACACTCCCCTCCCCCACTAAACATACATACCCCCCCCATTTTATGGTCTGAGAACTACATTTCAAAATCCAGAGGAGTTTAGGTAGTTTTCTCAGTTGTGCCAATTAATCTATCTGTTGGTAGGCAATAGACAAAATCCCTGGGTGGAGATGGAACCGTCAAGTTCAAAGGATGCCCCTCTGCAGATGCAAGCTTTGCTTCCCACAAGCTCCCGCACAAAACTGCAAAACTCTGCAATGCTCTGTAAACCACATTTAAGGTATAGGAAGCACCATGATCCAGATTAATCCCAAGTACATCCCGCCTCCCTTCATGCCCATATTAAATCATCCATGTTTCAACAAGAGGTGGGGAGTTGGATCCAGCTGACAGGCCAGATCCCCCTGTTCTCTGACTCTTGGATTCAGCCACCTGTCAATCACCTGAGAGCATCAGAACGTCAGGTGAAGCATCCACTGGCCCGTGTGGCAACCTTTCCCTGCCAGACTCGCTGCAAGCATTGTTCAGCGCTTATAGCAAGTTTCATGCTTTAGGCAGGAACTGGGTTGTGCTATGGAGGTCCACTAGAGTTATGCATCCCATTATGCACTAGAGTTTATGCCCCTGAACCCTGGTTCAAGAAGTGGTCCGCACATGGATCTACTTAAGGCCTGTGGTTTGATACAGTGGGACTCTACTTCTATCGCTCTGTCTCTCTGCACAACTGTTATGAAGATAATATGAGATAGCCCCCACTATACCACCCTATGCTCCCGGGTAGGAAAGCATAGGATTAAAATGTGATTAACTCATACACATTAAAACCTTATTTAAACATGCTTAAAATATATATAAGCAATTATAACTGCTGTTCAGCTTGAGTATGTAAAATAACTGGGATAATGTGAACAAATTAATTGGCACTTAAGAAAAATTAATGCAAATTAGTTGCATTTCACGGAGCATCTCAGCAGAGAGGGGAAGCAGGCAGCAGTTGTGTCTTTTCGCCACAAGATGGCACCTGATGCATGTATTTCAGTCAGAAGCTGGCAAAATTGAAAAACAGAAGTTTTGCCATTCCAAGTTCAAGATATATAAATGAAACAATGGTTCCACAGCTAAACATATTTTAAATAAAATTACCAAATACTAGAGCCAAGGTGTGGGTTGAGGGAAGGATTGGGCCGCCCCATTAGTGCAAGGTAGTCCTTGAACATGCTATACCCAATGCACAGAGGCTAGAGTACATTTCAAACGTGGGACTTCACACAGGAAGAGTCACATGTGCAAACTTTTGGGTCTCAGGAGTGATGAAGTTATGCATCAGACGGGGAACCTGTGGTCCTCCAGTATTACTAGATGCCAACTTCTGTAAGCCCAAGTGAGCAATGCCGAAAGTCAAAGAAGAATGGGGAACCTCAGGAAGGCCCCAGGACTCCCCATCTGTGCTATACATTATCCTATTTTTTCCCTTCCTCTGCCCCTCTGCTGTGTATAAACCCACCCAATGAAGATCATGTAAACACCACAGAATAAATCCCTTTCAAGGATCAGGTGCCTTTCAAAGCTCCCCCAAGTAATTTAGACAGCCATAAAAATGATAAGTTTTAATAAATATTAATACAGAAATAGGATATGGTACAGTCTCTTCTCTGGGAAATTAAGGCTTAATTACAGCAACCCGATATAAAACACTTCTCTAAGCTCTTGGTGGAGACAATCTACCGAGGAGACGACTGCACTCGAGCACAGGATGTTTATTTAACCAAAACACCAGGATTGTGCAGGCCAATGCAAAACACGCTTTGTTACAATGGCGGAATAAATAAAACCCAAAACCTCAAGAGAGGCATTCTGAAGAAAAATAAAAAGTTCCACCTTCACGTTCACACAAACGCAGCTCTTCTGTAACCATCTCAGCCCTGGGAGCACGACACCAGGGTTTGGGCACCGTGCTAAAGTTGCAACGTCTGCGGGGAAACCTGAAACACGACCTAGAAACAAAATGATTCCACATCTGTAGACATTTCGTTCTGTATATGCGAGTGTTTAAATGTTCACCTTTGTATAGTTGACATGAGAGGATTAAAAGGACAGTTTCAGAATGCCAAAACTACAATGCGCAATACAAAAGAGGAAGGAAACCAGGGTGCGTGGGAGGATTTTGTTTGGTTGTTTTTGAGGGGATGAGATATGTAAAGATGACGCTAGATTATTTTTTTCTTCTTCTCTATTTCACATCACAGTCAGAAAGGAGAGTTCACAGATGCATAACTGCTAGGGAGGAACTGCGACAGCAAGTGATGATGATTTGAAGATGGGAAAACCACCACCACAGATCAAAAACCACCACAAAAAACAGGGCTTATTATATACACCACCTCCACACACACACACACACACACACACACACACAGAGCACTTTTCAATGGAGGCAGCCCAAGTATTGGGATGCATGCTGTCTCACTGTACACAATGCCAGCTCTCAATGCTTTGTTGAGTTTAAAATAAGAAAGGCATAAGGAACAAGGCCCCTAAAGTACAGATACGTTCGATTTTGCTACTCCCCACCAACTACCCAGCCAGTGGAGCAGGAGAAGAAGCTCCACAAGTTACATGATCATAAACAGTGTCTTAGCCACCTCACCCGCGTCTCTCATCCTCTTGCACATTTCCACAAGGGTCTTATTTTAAATATTTAAGGCTTCTCATAGAGTCAAGTAACAGAAGCCACAAAAGCAAAGTGGGAAAGATTGCTGCAACAGCATTCAGAACACAAGTAACAAAACACCAGGATTACGAGCAACAGAACCAGAAAATGCTACAAATGAAGAAGAGGGTGTTTTTCAAAGGTTCAAAAGAAGGGGTCTTTTACTCCTTTCACAGACCATGTGTGCTGGGCTGGGCTGGGGTGGGATAAATGGGGCAGCCAAGTCCCCGATTGTTTCCTGCAAGTGGCTCATACATATTTTGCAAAAGCCAAACTATGGCAAGCCACAGGTAATATCTGACAAGGTAATCTCCTCTCCATTGCAAACCAGACAGGGAAGGTGTTTTGCAACAGAACAGGGAAAAAGGGGAGCAGTTCTCAGCTCCGTCCAATGTCCCAGAGCAGTACACCCGAAAGCAAACACAGGTCCTTAAAGCATCGATGAAGGCCAGGTTACCCTTGATCTAAAGCAATCCCTCCTAAGGGAGTTTAGTTTGCTTTGCATCAAGGGGCTAACCGGGCAAATCATTATGTGTGGCTGCAGTATAAGTAGTAGTTTGAATTTTATAAACAGGATCAAACTTAAAAGATTTCCAGAAAGTTGGACAATTTAAGTTCACAAGTCACAGTTCCTCCACTGCAAAAACAACAACAGCCCACCCCCACATATAGTTTAATCTCCTTCCCAAAAGTTTATGAAAGGTGTTTGACCTGTACAGTTGTAACATGCAGGCCAAATCTGTAGCCTGTTGCATCCACAAGTCTCAGGAACAAACCCTGTGTACTTTTGCAGTGGAAAGTTATCCCTCCCTCAAAAATATGAATCATCAGAGAGATGCCGAAAGCATTTCTGCTCTAAAATGCTTTATCCACTTCACTTTTGTCAGTTAACATTTTACCATTGTCTCACCATGATTCAATTTTACGTCTGGCCTCAGATTTAAGACCGGAAAACTGAGGCAATTGATGGAGACCAGGAAGCAGTGTTGTGCCAGGCCCTATTCACACATGCCTCTAGCATAGGCTACCTGCTCAACAGCCTGCAGCAAGTAAGAACGACCTCCAAGAGAACATTTTGCCAAAGGTGGTTTTCTTTGCTGCACTGTTTTAAATTATTTAGATTTACTGTCAGCTGCCCTGAGCATTGTGAATACAGTGGAAAGTATATAAAATGGGATTTTTTAAAGTCAAACAATTTCCCTCACTATCGGAAACAGTAGTTTTGCAAACTGTTTTGGTATCTTCAGGGAAGCTGGGAAGCACACACACAAACCTTAGGGCCACAGTTAATAGTTTACAGATAACAGCAGCATAGATGCAAAAGGGGGAACGGTGCAATCTTGTTCTAAATGAATGAGAACAAACACTAGTATAAATGGTAGCGGTGTTGGCCTATAAGAAATATCCCAAAATCTGTATTAGGGTTACCAAAATAGCACTAAAGAATACAGCAGCTTTCAAAAAGCCTGGGTACTATATGGAGTCGGGATCAGGCAGAGGACGAAGTGGAAGAAACGGGGGTGGGGGAAGAGAGGAATTGGGGAACTTGGGCCAAAAGAGGGAAGATATCCCCGTCCCACTCTGATTTCAGTTGCTTTGGCAGGGGGAGCAGGCATGCTGGCTGGTGCGTGAAGTCTCAGTAGAGGCAGAGGAAGGCTTTGATTATTGGGGTGGGGGTGGGGGCTGAACAAGAGGTGGTGAGGACTGAACAACACCTGAACAGGAAGCTGCAGCCTTTCCTGGTCAGAACCAGGTGCCCCCTTTGCAGATGGGATGAGAGACGACCGCCCCAACGGAGCAGGACCTTGCAAACTCTGCATTTCCACAAGGAAAGGGAACAAATCACTCCTCATCTTCAAAAGCTTGGGGCAACTTCTGTCACTTCTGAATTTCTTTCCCTACTCCTGGATCATGATGCCTGAGCCCTGCGTCTGCTGCTGAACCTGTACCGTTACTTGCCTGAAGGTCTTTTTTACTTCCAAATTAAGAGCCACTGTCTGCAAATTGAGTGCAATCTAAAATGGAACTTTTTTTTAAAAAGTCTTATTCAAGATGAAGCCTTGTCTCATCCTCCTTTATGCCCTCACCCAGAGGGTTGCAGCCAATGGGGCAACAGCAGCCACTTCCAAAGTAGCAGGAAAGAAGTTGTGAGACAGTTGTGGACTAGGGGAAAAGTAAATGACAGGAGTTGTCTTGGGGTTGAGAAAGCAGGTGGCAGGTATTGGGCGCTGGGTAGGAGTCCCAGCCATTTCACTACATAGCTCCAGGGGCTTTTGCCACCTCTGCTATATTGCAGCAAAACAAAGTGGCAACTTAAAAGTGAACCAACACAAGGTGGAGGTGGGGAGAAGATGGACGATTTCATTTTATGCGACTTAATGAATACACAGTTCGCATCCCAAACCAAGTGGAATTTAGTCCTATGTAGATGATGCAGACATTGCATCCCACATGTTTAGCAGGCCTGGATGCTTATGAGGCAACCAGGTGTGTGGGTGCAAGCCTGCACTGCAGCAAAAATTCATCCAAAGCAGCCCTAAGTGTCTCTTACTCCCGTTTCCAATCAGCAACCTGACCTAAGACTACTCATGGTGTCTACCCACTCACCCACCCCAAGCTAAAAAAGAAAAAAAAGAGACTACAATTTCTCCTTGCCACATTCAAATTTTGTTCGTACTGGATGTGCATTTCACTGCTCTTTTTAAAAACGAAATACTTAAGGCAACTACAACAGGAGATATTTTTCCCACTGCAGAGAACTATTAGACTCAACAGTTCATAAAAATATTAAATACACTACAAGATACTTGAAAGCAACAAGTAACTTTTCATATGTACTGAGCAGCAAGTCAAATGGTTTGACTACACACAGACCTTACTTGATCCTTTTAATATGATAAATGTGTAAGCCATCTCCTAAAAAAAGGAAAGAAAATAAATTCAGTCTAAAGCATCAGCTTCCATTTTATAGACTACAGACTTCCGAGCCAATGATGTTTCCTGAGGCAAAAAGCTGAACATACTGTCAAGGATGCTGCATTGTGCCTTGAACCTATTAATATTATGCATGGGTGTCTGGAGGGGATATTTTATCCCAACAACTTGAAGGTATGTATTGCACTCTCAAATCAAATACTGTCAAATCCACCTCACAAAAGCAAGGTGATAGTCCCTTGCCTGATAGTCCCATACAGGCAAGCAGAATAAGGACAAAAGACTATTTTTGGGGTAACCAACATGGTGGACTTCAACTGTTATCAGGATTCCCATCAGCCCCAACCACCCTGGCCGATGGTGACAGGTGATGTAAGTTGTAGTCCAACAGCATCTGAAGGACACCAGGTTGGCTGCCCCAGCCTATTATTCTGTACTACCTTGATTGGCAATCACACCAACCGTAGGGAAAACCACAGCAACAGAACTTCCTCACCAGTAATGCCTTAGCATAGTGAGCAGTGGAGACATCGTTTCCCCTCAAAGAAAGACTGCGGTGTACATATACTACACGGCTGAATTCCTTATGTGACCTAGATTTGATTTTCTCACACACACACACACACACACACACACACACACACACACTGGAAAAAGACACTTTAAAAAGGTTAGCTCTTTAACATCCGTGCTGTTTTTGAACCTTTCTAAATCAACTTTGCCACCTTCTTTTTACCAATCACAGCTGCAAGTCATAGGATGGTCTTTGACTCTCAGAAGTAAAACTACACTGGAGTCAGAAGTTCCAAGTGACTGGGCAGTGTCAGGGCAGGGGGGTTAAAAAAATCATGAAAGCAAACATGCGGGAAGTTTGCTAAGGAGTTTTCCAAACGTAGGAGAATACCAGAGTATAAGAAGCAGTTTTTAAAAGCAAAGTTCCACTGAAAGTCAAGCTTGAACACAGTGCCAATGTAATGGAAATACCTTTCAGAAGAATTTTATGTGGGTGCACCCAATATGGAAGCATGACATCAGAATGAGTCATCCACACAACCTGCTCAGAGATGATCCTGCAAACAGCATCCAGTTCACAGAATAGACTGAGTGAGTTGTGTGGATGAAGGAAAACTCCGAAATGCTTCCAGCTATGGGAATCAGTCTAAACACCAACTTGTAGCTACAGAACATTTACACCAGCTTAATCTTCGCCGTTTTCCAGCAGGCAACCATTAGCAACAAAGGGAACACTGAGCATTCTTGGTCCAGGGGAATACAATGGAGGAAACAGACAGCTAATGTGTTTTGCACACTTACTCAACACAATAAAAATGTTTTGTTCTTCTTGTGATTTAGCTTATACCAGGTCAAAATAAGCAAAACAAAAGCCTCAGTGCCAAGATTCAGGCCAGCATCCAGTGTATTACAGAGGTGAAGTGCCTTGATTGTACAACCTATACAATGCTGGAAAAAACACACATATTAATACAGCCCTCTCCCCTAGGCTTTGTGGTTCCCTGGATGAGGTCAATGCAGAAAATTCCACAAGGCAATTTTGAAACACATAAAACTTCACTCCATGTACACAACTCCTCTGAAATTGCAGCCTAAACATTTTAATAGCTTCATTTAGACTTTTTATTTTTTTAGAAAAACCCTACACGCACACACACGCACTTCCTAGAGTGCAAAATGCTTATTAAGTACTTTAGCAACAGAACATTGCATTGTAAGGTTTTTTCACCCCTTCTTTAAAATATGCACTTCTTTTGCCATAGACATTTGCTTTCCACCCCCTTTGAAGCATCCATTGCCGGCAACAGATGCACAAGCAAGTGCGCCGACAGTCCTGCTGAATCTTCTTGGGCCACAGTCAAGTCGCTGGGAAGCTGCTTCCCTTCTTCCAGACAACAACTTTTCACTTGTACAAGCTCATTGTTGGGCTCTGATACATGCACATATAAGCGTCACAAAGTAGCCTTCGTGCACAGCCTTGAATTCTTCTGGAGTCCAGCGAATGCAATTCCTCAAGGGACATTTTCAGGTACTCGCCAACTTCTGGGCATGGAGTCACTTGAGGGATATTAAAGCCATTCTGTCCTCCTTTTGAGAGAAGGAGAGGGCAGACGGGTTAATTCAAGGGGGTGGGGGACACACAATTCATTACCAACTATGCAGTCCTGAAACTGTAGCCTCCCATTGATGTGCAATGGTAAGGAGCATGAGTTCTCCTTGATGCCAGTTAAATCACCACCATGTCATTTTTTTAAAAAAAGTTGTAAATCAGTTTGACATTCAATTATAAATCTATTTAAATGCCAATTCTCAACTTCAGGTCCCCACTCCGCATGACCAGGGAATGAAGGAATGAAGACAACGGATAGGACTGAATTGGGGTGGGAAACCTGTAGCCCTCCAAACGCTGACAGACTTACAACTCCCATTAACCCTGCCTACTGCTGACCAGGGATGACAGGCATTGATAGTCCAACAATAGCTGGAGGGCCATAGCCTCCCTATCTTAGGGCTAAAGAGAGAGAAGCCAGCTCAACATTTAAGCATGTGGAGGCACTGAGAGCAGGGAGCAGTGGCAACCCCAGATCAACAGATTAGCAAGAGAAGATTGTGGCTATTTTAAAAAAAATTCCCCTGTAAACAAATGCTTCTTCACTGGAAGGGAAGGTTGCCGGGTGAAGAGATGTACTGCATCCACTCAGGAGACATTTGTAGTATACAAACTGCCCTTCTGTGTATACTTCACCTATTATAACTGTCATTTTTCCAGTTACTGGATTTTTTTAAAAAAGAGTTTTATATCTGAAGGTAAGCTCTTATAAAGGGCACATATTCTGTGCATGTCTTATGCTGGACTCAAAGATCTGACATCCAGTATCCATTCATTTATCACATTTCTACCCTACATTTCTTCCCAAAGGCTCAGGGTAATATATGTACTTTTGCCCTCTCTTGTTTCTTCACAAGAGCCCTGTGAGGTGGAATTGGTAGGCGCGTGCCAGGTTCAAGGTCACCCACTGAGCTCCATGGCAGAGTGGGATTTGAAGGCGAGTCTCCCTAGCTCTAGTCTTCACACTCACTACTCTATTTCAAGCTTATTTTTACTATATTCTGGGTTTCTATTAACACTGCTCATTCATATTATTAAACAGAGAAGGTTCACTACATTAAGTTTACAGTGGTGGTAATAATAATAATAATAATAATAATAATAATAATAATAATAATAATAATAAAAATAATAATAATAATAATAATAAATGCCTGGCGTGCTCTGGTCCATGGGGTCACGAAGAATCGGACACGACTAAACGACTAAACAACAACAAGCTGCCCTGTGACCCAGTACCGTACAGTACAGTGGTACCTCGGGTTAAGTACTTAATTCGTTCCAGAGGTCTGTTCTTAACCTGAAACTGTTCTTAACCTGAAGCACCACTTTAGCTAATGGGGGCTTCTGCTGCTGCTGCACGGCTGGAGCACGATTTCTGTTCTCATCCTGAAGCAAAGTTCTTAACCTGAAGCACTATTTCTGGGTTAGCAGAGTCTGTAACCTGAACTGTATGTAACCCAAGGTACCACTGTCATTCAATTTACACTAGTGGCCAAAACTGTGGAAACCTTTTGGAGAAAGTATATTTCCAAGGTTCCGGTTAAGGTTACTCAAAGCTACACGAACACCAGAGAAAGGAAATGAGGCCAAATGAACAGACATACCATCCCGATCAGCCATGCTGTCAAAGAAGAGCCAAGCAGAGTCCCCCTTGCCATATTTAACGAAAGCCACATAGTGGCTTGTCTCTATACAAAGAACGGCAAATAACTCCATCTTCTGACAAGGTATGCAGCCGTGTCTCCAATCCCAGTCTGGTAGATCTTTAGGGAGAGACACTGGATTGAATTTATGACTCTGCCTTTTGGGATGAAGGTGAACCTGTAATTGACAAGGAGGGTTAGAATAAGTTTTTTGCAAGGTCATCTTCTGCCTTACTGTTTTCCGAAGGAAACTAAATCTCACAGTTCTCTGAGAAGGCACCCACTGGCCCTGGAGAGATTCCTGGCGCTGAGTTCTGAGCAGACACCAGTCCCAAGACATTCTGAAAGAGTAACTTACCTGAGTGTTGCAGGTTTTGCAAAACTGCTTGATCTTCCCAGCAGAAATGTCGGTATCCTCGTAGCATTCTCGGCATTCATACATTGCAAGTCCTCCACAGATACGGCACTGCCTAGGAGCTGTATTTGGCAAGATGAAACTATCAAAATTGTGTATGAACAGTGGAAGCAGCCATCCCTTCAAAGCTGTGTTAGTCAGCATGAACATGTTAAGACAAACATAGGCACGGGGAAGGGGTGCTTTTTTATAGTAAATCGTGATTTTATGTACAAAAAAAAGTGGAGTGAAAGACTTAACACAATTTGATATATTGTTGAAACAGAACAAGGCGACACTCCTGCAAGAATTTCTCCAACACTGAAGCAAAAAGAAAAGCAACAGCCCTGTTTACAGCACATATCTTTCACTCATGCATGTTTATAAAAGAAATGCATCAGTGAAATAAATCTCTACTCTGCAGACACAAGCCATAAAGAATTCCTTCAGTTTTAAATTCATGCCAAAAAACCCAACTGGTTGGTTGAGGGAAGGTGAACAAAATGGATGGAATGCTTCCATTCATAATTTTGATGGGAAAAAGAAAATACTTTTCCAAAGGGCTGCACACAGAAATTAAGCTCAGTTCTTCTTCTACTTAACAATTAATAAGCTGATAGAGAAGAAGAACCTGAAGGCACCCAATGTACCTCTGAAACTTAGCAGAATGGATAGGATGGGAGACTGCCAGGGAACTCCATACACACCTAGAGTGAAGTACTTGTGACTCGCTAGATGTTGCTGGACTACCATTTCCTACAGACCCACTCAGGTGTTAAGATCAGCGGAGAGACCCTATTGGTCATTTGACCACTCCCAAAAGCTTGAAGGGGGGTTAGGTGGCAGCCCAGGAAAAGGTATTATCGGTGGCTGCCCCCAAGTCGTGGTACTTCCACACCACAAATGTGCATCTGGCATCTTCATTATACAGCTTTTGGTGAATGCTGAATAAACACCACTTTATGCTGGCTTTTGACACTTGTTTTATTTCATAAGCTTTATATACAACTTGACTGTAGAAAAAAAACACCTCTACGTGTTTTTGAGGTGCATATTTTTAGAACCCACCTTATTTTTGTGATTTTAAGTTGTTTTAAACTGTTTTTACATGTTGTGCTTTAATGGTTGCAATCCAGAACCTTAGGGCGAAGAGTGGATAATAAATTATAGCCAGCATCCCTGTTTATTGGCCAGGGGTTAATGGGAGTTTAGAGGCCAGCAGTATTAGGAGAACCACAGATTCACCAGTCCTGCTGTATATGTTCCAAGTTTCCTGATGGCAGGTAAGACTACCAGGTAAGGTCTGGAAAAATGGGTCCAGTTTTGTATGTATATAAATGTCATCTATCCTGACAAAAAGAGAATGAAGGCATAGTGGTCAAGGCTGGACCACCCCTAAAGCCTGTCCACAGCCAACCACCAATATGCAGTTCTCCTAATATTTTGTGAGCAGAATGTTAGACAAAATTTCTGTTAACAGAAATAAAATATGCCAAATAAAATATGATTCACATGGCTCATAGCACCACCAGTCTGTGCAGTAGCCAAACACCACCAAATACCAGAAGAAATAAAACTATTTCTAAATACTCTATGATCAGCCATAGTGTCATGAACAATATTTTATGCTCACTGTCTTCCAGTAGGTCTGTGATATTTAATTCCAGTGATGGAAAGATTTTGTTGAACATTTTGAAGTCCTTTCCAAATCGAGGCATCTGAATAATCAGACATGAGGGTGCCTAGCAAGAGCCAAGAAAAAAATGCAGCTGTTTTAGTGAAATTATATATCCAATGGGTAAAAATTTTATGAAAGCAAATAATATCCTCCAAACCTCTGCAAATTTCAAGTTGCTGTTGATAAAAGACCATTCCAGTAGCTGCTGAATTGTAGGAACTCCAACCTTCTCATTCTTGTCCATAAAAATCTGATAGAAGTAGCAGTCTTGAACCTTTTGACCAGCTGATCTAAGAAAAGAGAGTATTTTCAAAACAGATTTTGATAAAAAATGATAAAGCTTAATGATGAACAAGAGGACATTTAACTATTCTTTCATCCATTTGGACAAATGTCTTCTGTTACAAAAACTAAAAAATAACTTTGGGAAAGGAGTGGGAAAGATTAAGCATTTTGTAAGGCAATTAAAAAAAATAGAGCTCAATCCAGATTGTGTTAGTTGATCTCAAGTCCCATTGTTTTCAATTGGATTTAAGTCATGATTTGTCACATTGTGGGATCCAAGTCCAACTAATTTAGTCTTAATCCAACCTTCTTTTCCTACATGGGTGTTCAAGACAGTGTTTAAATCCTTTCAACAGATTACCACCGGTTTGTCAGCTATGATGTTCCAACTAGAAGATATAGAAATACCTGTTGGATTACCTGGGTTTCAGTGATTTTTGACAGCCCTTTCACTATTATGTATCAATTAAAACCATTCATAACAAAGCGAATACAGTAATGTTGACTCCCATACTTCTAAAATGAATGTTCAGTTATACAGATTGTAACTGCTGTTTAACAAGGGTCATTTGTACTGCTGAATCATATTTAATCATATTTAATACTTAACAAGGGAGAGCCGGGGAAGGGAAAGTTTGCATGACTGTGAAGAAGGAATGGATATGAGAGCTTGTGGGGGCATCCCAAACACTCGATATGACAAGGATGAAACTAAAACTGCTTCATATTTACAAACTTGCCTGGTAGTCATAGCCAATCAGGAATTCAATGCAGGGGATATGCAAGCTACTAGTTTATCAGGTGAGCAACTTTGTGTGCCTATTAAAGGTAAAGGTACCCCTGCCCGTACGGGCCAGTCTTGACAGACTCTAGGGTTGTGCGCCCATCTCACTTAAGAGGCCGGGGGCCAGCGCTGTCCAGAGACACTTCCAGGTCACGTGGCCAGCGTGACAAAGCTGCATCTGGCGAGCCAGTGCAGCACACGGAAACGCTGTTTACCTTCCCGCCAGTAAGTGGTCCCTATTTATCTACTTGCACCTGGGGGTGCTTTCGAACTGCTAGGTTGGCAGGCGCTGGACCGAGCAACGGGAGCGCACCCCGCCACGGGGATTCAAACCGCCGACCTTTCAATCGGCAAGCCCTAGGCGCTGAGGCTTTTACCCACAGCACCACCCGCGTCCCTTGTGTGCCTATTAGACAGAGCTAAATTTTTGGCCCAGTGTGAACATGTATGAAAAATTGGATTGTATGGCCATTCAATACAACACACAGACACCCCTCCCAAAATCATGGCAATTTTGGAACAGAGGTGGTGGTGGTGGGGAAATCCTCAATGTCATAAACAGTAGTACAAAATGTAAAAAGATGCACAACTAAAGACCCATACACTGAAAACCACTAGTTACTAGATGCTCCCCCCTTTTCTTACTAGTCTGCTTTTAGTGATACGAGGGGCTGGCGGTGGGTTTTGTTATTTTTTTAATAGCAAACTAAATATGTAGGCTGTGATTTTACGTGGGGTGTGGACAAGGCAGTCATGGAAATGCAGGGGGCTGCCAGAAGGAGGGGCAGAGTGCTTAGTCCTGCCCCCCCCTCCGGCATCCTGTAACCCACTTTCCTGTGTAAAGTTCCTTGTTGCCTATGATCACCAGGCAAAGGATTAAGCTCAACTCAGTTTTCACAGCATTTCCATCATAAATCGATGTCTTGAATGCAGTCAGACTTATAGAATTTTATACCTCTAAAAAGCAGGTTTGAATTCAACCAAACATTCTCTGAAAGCTCATGTTCCTGGAAGTCCGAAACTTCATTTTGAAACATGACTTAAGCAGAGGAATATTTTACCTTATTTTTAACAGTGGCTCTACTCTCAAAATATGATGAAACAAAATATTCAAGAATTCTTCAGGATCTGGGGGAAAAGAGAGTTGTATATCAAACAAAGACTAATATGTAAGACCCAAATAATTTTAAAATAAATGTTCACATAAAAAATCATTTTAACCAAACTGGCAAAGAGCAGGGAGCATATTTTATAAACGGTTGAATACAAGATTTATAAGAACAGTTAAATAGTCAAGATTATCAAGACTCAATTTCTCCATTATCATTATAAAAAAAATACAAACTTAGCTGAAACTCTCCAATATTCTAATGACATTATTATGCACACACAAAAGAATATAGTACATTAACCTTAGCCACCTCATACCCAACATCACTCAGGAATTCTAAGTAGAAAAAAACCCAGCTGTTATGAAATCACTTGTTGAAATAAGTGCCATTTCAAAATATTCAAAATGGCATCCAATGGTATCCAAATGATTTCAGGAACTTTGGTTGCAATATCTTAAGATATGTCCAAATGCATAGCTAACAAATAACTTTCCAAAACATGTAGTGGATTGTCTCTAAAATTTGCTCTTAAAAAGCCATATAGCCAGAAATATAGTATAAGCACAGTATAAGAGCACAAGAGAGTTAAACTAAAACTTTGAGGGCAGAAACAGATTGGGTTGTATCCAATCAAGTCATTCCATAAGCACAAGGATTGTGCAATGGAACCTCCCCCTCCTCTTCCCACATGCCCCCTGCACCAATCCCAAATCAGCTCTGGAGGACTGAGGAACCTCCAGAACAGATTGGAGGTAGGGTCAGACAGCAGGGAGAAGAGGAATGAGAAGTTCTGTTGAGCAAATGGAAATCCTTGCACTTTGTTGGATCCACCGCTTCCTGATCTTGGAGACTGTTCTAAAGCATAATAAATAAATAGAAGCATATTTACACAAACTTATCCGCTTGCTTTCTATAATAGCTCCTGGAAAAATACATCAATTTAGTCAGGAGCATCATGTTTCAAACTTTTCTGATCTAACTCTGAAATCGGGGGTATTTCAGATTTTTTGCTGATAAATAGTAACATTCTGGCAGTCACTAATAAATTTGGCACCAGCTCAGAACCATCTCTCTCAATATCACTCACAATTCAGAACTTTCAGTTTGTAACCGAAACACCCATCCCTATTCACTCCCTTTCCCTCACCAATGCTACAGAGTTCGGTAAAGCTCAAATAAAATTGCATTTTATTTTTGGTAATCCACTTTGGGATACACAATGAAAAGCAGTATATAAACTTCTTAAATAAAAAGAAATAAATCAAGTTACCCTTCTCTTCAGAGGTAAACCCTGAAGCTGCTTCCACTTTTTCCAGGATTTTCCTCAGCTTCATTATTTTTGTTGCACACACATATCCATATCTAGAATAAAAAGATGAAGAGTCTGAGGAGAGAGAGAAATGGTGAACCTCAAAGGGATATGGAGCTTTAAGGCACATGGGGATACACAGAACTGGCAGAATAGGCAACTATAAAACTTCCTTGTTTCACACATTAGTAGAGCAGAATGAGAACAAGCCACAAAGAAAATGCTAAGGTAACCTAATCTGAGCTCCACATTTTGAAGTAGTATATCGGTTTTCTGAATTGAGGGCAATGCAGCTATACTCAGAGCCAACTTGTTTTGAATCCTCCATACATATTCTGAATATATACAACATTCTTCCAACTGCTCTTCTAGGAATGAAAACAAAGGGCCTTTTCATTTCTCATTGTACTCATCCCAGCAGAAATGATATTGAGTTCCACATCAGGAATGCCACACCTTGCTGACAAAACCCAGGGAGCTGGAACTATATAAAAAAGCAGTATGGGTTAAACAAGAAAAGAGTTGAAAGGCCTAGGTAGAAACTGGGGAGGTTGATTTAGCAAAGTCATTTCCAAACTTTCTGCTTTCAATGAATTCTGCAAAAGAAATACCTGCATGTTACATAGGATTCTGGATCACGCTCTAGGGTGCAGGCCACATATCTAAGCCTTCACCATCTGCCTGTATTTGCCAATAATACACTCGGCTCTCCACCTATCTATACATTGTACAGGGAAGACTAGAATGGTAAGCAAGGAATACATTTTGAAAACTATTGAAAATTTTGAAACAATTCATTTGCCCATACTTACATTCTGAGAGGATTCACTATCTCTGTCCGCAGAAGCTCTTGAGTTTCACTGTAATATTCTACATCATTTTTCTCTTTTGGTCTAAGCAAGACTGTGTCCAAAACAGAGCTGAATGCAAACAGGCTGAAAGAGGGGAGAAGCTAATTTCAATCTGGAAACACAACAACAACAGAGTATACCCTAAAGCTGAGATGCTTGTGAAGGGCATCTCACTCTTGCATTGCCACTATGGACTGCTGCTACTAACAGAAGAAACTAGAACTATTCCTTACTGCCAGCAAGAGGATATGAGTTTCGGCAGGGAATTGTTCCAGTCTTGCCAAAAGCTGAGGCTACTATGCGTACTACCTTACCCTTTACAAAGGAAGTTTGAGCCACTTTGCATAGTATACAGAATGTGAACTCTACCATCAAATATTAAAAGGAGCAGCAAGTAGAATAAGGAGCAGACTAGAAGTAGGAGAGATGAAGTTAGCCAATTTTGATTGCAAGACATCAAAAGCATACCATCCCTCCCAGTTTCTCGAGGGGAAAATGCAAGCTTGCTGCCAGGGTAAGATTTAGCCAAAGCTGTCAAATAGCAGCCAGAAGTGCAATCCCACTCTCAAGAGATTATGATAGTCAATATGACTGTCATACAATGAAATGAGGGCCTGCAGACAGAGTTTTTCCTTTATTTTTATGTTTATTTATTGACAGCTTTATGGCAGAGAACTCACAGTCATCTACTTCCTGGAGAGAACAGCTGGTTAAGGGGCTGGCTGCTACATCACAATTTTATGAGATCTAGGAAGCAGATGTGGCTCTGCTACCACCACCCTATATGAAAGTGGAGGGGAAGAACTCTAAAACCTATGGAAATAGACCAGTAGAACAGGGATGAGGAATCTGCAGCCCCCCGGATGCTGATGAACTCCCATCATCCATGACCACTGGCCATAAGGACCAGGGCTGATGGGAGTTGTAGTCCAACAACCTCTGGAGGGCCACAGGTTCCCCATCCTTGCTGTAGAAAACAGTGAGACAATGACAGGGAAGGATCAGGTGCCCTCCAACTGGTAATGTAGATTGTGCTTTTTTGCCTGGCTGCTATTGCTACTCTCAAGTTTGCTTGTTTTTTGTAAACATGTATTTTTGCGTTATTGAGACAGGTATGTTTGCTGTGCTAAGGAAGCACAACAAAGCAGAGTTGATATCACAATTTCTGGCTACTTCAGACTCCGCTGTAATGGCCATCTATCACAAAGAGCTATGTATTCTATAAGTGCAATATAAATACAGAGGCTGGTCATGTTACATCCCATACTGTGGACAAGGCCACAGCAGAACCCCAGTAGTGTCACCTCATTTAATCCATTCATGACCTTCCCCATGGACCTTCACCTGCCACTATTTCCTCCTCCTCATCCACTCATCCAGCCATGCAAGAGGCAGTGAGGTGCTTCCCAGCCTCCCCAAAAAGAAATCTGACACAGCAGATCAAGATTAAAGCATCAGGAAATGGCTTCACTGAGAAAATCACCCACACTGAATTCCTCACCTTTACTGGTCAAGCTACTTTCAGTGAGCTCCATTCATTGCACAGCAAGGCACAATAGACGGCTAATGTCACTCTACTGAACTTTCATCTGAAATATTTGCACTGTTTGTTGTGCACTCATGTCCTTTCCCCTCATCTAGGCGTTTAAAGGACAGCTCCTTAAATACTTACCAGAACAAGGTGGAATCCAGGTAGCAGGAGTTATAGTGACCCTGAATCCCTTTCTTCTTTCCAATCATTGTTTCTAGACCTTCTTTTTCCATTTTGGGGGGAGTGTTTTCTTCAACCACTTCACTTAGGTAACCCCCAAAAGCTTAAAGACAAAAGGTTGAGAGTAAGCAAGGGACTCCAACTCCTTCGTGGATCCAAGAGCTGCAGCAGCAAGGGAGAATGAAGTGGCAGTGTTTGTCCTTGGAGGAACTGAGAAGCAGATGGCGAGGCCTCAGGGGTTCTTTGACTGGTATGGCTTGCAGAGAAGTAGCTACCTGCTCCTCCTCCACCACCTCACTCCCTTGGCTTTGGCAGTTTAATTTCTCCCACGTACACAACCAAGCCATATCTGATCATCCTGCCTCCCTTTGCACCTGGACATTCTTGCAATTTCCTCCAGCGCCTCCCCCCGCCAGACTTTTTTGCTCTCGGATAGGGCAGGGGGCTGTGCAACACGAAAATAACTTCTTCCAATACAGAACAAAGGTAACCTGCTAGAAATAATGAACCAACACTGAAGATGCTAGGGTGAGGTTAAAGAGGACAGTTTATACACGTCAAAAAGCTCAAGTGTCCCAAGCCTGTAGTACTTTTCATCTCAGTATCCATAAAAAACAAGGATCTAAAACCACAGAGGCCATCTTCGTGCTGATCCTTCCAAATACTAGCTATAACTGACACTAATTTCAAATATACTTCAGATGCCTTAAGTATAGGAAGCAACAGCATGAAAACTAGCATTTCTTTTACAGTCATTTCTTACTTAATAAAGTCTACTGGTTGCCAATTTGCTACTGAGCCCAGTGTTCAACACAGACATATAAAGCCCTAATTGACTTGGGTCCGAAATACCTGACAGAGTGCTTTTCCCCACATCAACCTGCCCGGATACTGGAGCTACTGTAACCGTCCTGGGCTCCTTCAGGATGAAGGGCAGGATGGGAATTTAGTAAACAATAAAACAATAATCTGCTTGTTCAAGTGTTTTTCATTTGTTACCCATTTCAAATAGGTTTTATTTTGTTTTTTAAAAGCCTTTTGAAGGTGCTAAATATAAATAAATTGATATGGAAATGTATTAAATCTACTCCTAATCGAGAGAGACTTAATTTTACATGGCTAGATAGAAATACGAAACAGAGGGAAAGAAAAGAGCAATACCTAAGGAGTTGCAGCGTTCAATCTGGTTGGACACAGGCTGCAATGAAGCAAATCTGGAATCTGGCCTGCAGCTCTTCAACTTAACGAAGAGAGCCTTCTTGGGTGCACAGGTAAAGTATCGAGTTCCTTTAAATGTTCCATCAGTACAGCCTGCACATTCGTCTTCCTGGAAAAGGCAAACAGGCAGACTTACCTGCCTTAATGGAAAAACTAACACATGCAGCACCTTGGAAGCTATTCCTTAATATCATATTTGAAGCACCTAATAGTTTTTTGGCTATGAAGCCATGAACTGGGTGCAATCCTGTAAGCATCCTCCAATCTCCCCAAGAGCCTCTGCCGACAAATGGCCAAAACAAATGGCAGTCAAGCAACAGCAGTGTTTGACAAGGTTGCACTGTGTGTGCCGAGTCTGCCATATCAGCTCTAAAGGGCTGACCTGATTAAGCCACAGCAACATCATGCTAAAAGCCACATTAAGCAATGCCATCTTCTCTGAAAATTCTATTTACAATTGTAAAACTATTTTGGTGGGGAAAACCTAAGTCAACGGAGAAAGAGACCACTAAACACTCAAAACTCATGGACAGCTCAACATAGAACTGAAAATGCAAATTTAATAAGGCATTTGGAGAGAGCAAATCCAAGTGCTTTGCGTACCTTTTGAATAGATAGCTCAAAACTTTCATTTTTAGTCTGCTAGCCCATTGTAGGTGATGGGGGAAAATGAAAATATGAGTGCATTCTATTTTTCACCACCCCAATTTTTCCCCAAGTGTGATGATGGGTTGTTTTGCTTCCCTCCCACAAAACTCATCAGCCCACAGCAAGTTCCATGGGGAATTACTGTATGCAAAGGTACCAACATTTGTTTAGCCATGCAGGAGTTGAGCATGCATGCTATTAATTCTTAAGTGCAATGATTTTAAGGATGCTGTGCAGTGTAATCTCTCTCTGTCAACATCAATTCATTATGCCCAAAAGTTTTTTTGCCACTTGCTAAGAAAATAGCTTACTAGCTAATACAGCAATACATATACAAGCAACAGGTTTCAACACCAGTTTACATTTCCTGTTGTAATTTGCTTCTTTACAGGGAGAAAGCAGATACTGAGTACATGTAAACTACGATAATTAAACAAGTCTTACATTGCGAGTGTATCCAGCATCTAAAATACTATCATCATGCTGGTATTTAGTGGCTTTCAAACAGTTTCAGGAAGGAGAAGGTCCAATAATGGCAGAGAGGCTTCTCTGGAAAACAGCTTGCTTATATTCCCCAGCAATATGAAGCTGCAGAGGGGGCTTGGCAAATGTACCTTATAACATGCCCAGCTGATGAAGGATGGCAGCAAGGCCCAACAGATCTCACCAGTGCCCTGCACACACACTTCTTGAATGCCTTTTCCCAGAAGCTTCTGCAGCATGCAAGGGGTTCAATGTTGATGTGGAAAGGGATCCCTCAAGTAGAAAAGTTTTTAAAATGCAGTTCTTTAACCTAGAATTCCTGGCAGAAAGCACTTCCTTTGAGACTGTCTTGCCACATGAACAGAAATGGTCAGACAACTCCAGGTTCAAAGCCATTAAGCAAGGCAAGAATCTCAGCTTTTCAAATAGCCATGGAATCACTGAGTGTATGTACACACACACACTGGATCCATACTATTCCAGCTGCTCATTCACCTCTTTATCATTGCAACTGACCTGGATACAGTATCTTCATGCTACTCTTTCCAGTCAAAGCCAAAGGGGCAGCACGGAAAGGAGAGGTGCAATTCTGCCACTTTTCTGTTTGCCTGGAAACACAATTGTTACTTGCCTTTGTCAAGGAAGGCAAGGGGTAAACTGAACATCTATTTGAAGAGGTAAGTGGGGCAAGGTAAATCTGTGCTGTGAACCACGCTACAACTTTTCACACTGCTAAGAATCAGATTCTACTGACGCCACAAGTTTGAACTACAAAGTTCAGCAGAACAAGAGCCTTCTGCAGGTGTCGTCCCCCTCCCCACGCAATTACCAACCTTTTTAAGGGGAGTGCTTCTGTGTCACACCCCGCTCTACCAACAGCCCCCAAGCCTCTGCAGGAGGGAGATATTTCTATTCATGAGGGCTCCACATGCAGTTTAGAACTATAATCTGGAGGACTGTGGAAGTGGTGACTGTGATACAGAGTCGGCAGGGACAAGAAGCACGCCCTGCTCTCCCATTTGCTATGTGATGGTAACTGCGCAGAGGGGAGAACACCTGAATAGGGCTCAGGTGTTTCTTAAAAGAAAAGAAGAAGTAGCCGGACATAAAATGGGCAGGAGTGGCAAACTTTTGAAACGAACGTTATTTACCAGTTCAAGCCCCGCTAGCACTTCGTTGACTCCCGGAGGCTGCCCAATCCAACGGATTACTCCGTAGAAAGGTGGGTTCTCTTTTACTTCCGCCAAGGAACCTGCTTCTAGCCCATGCATGTTGATGGGCGCTACCATCGGCGGTGTGCTCTCCTGGGTGGCCCCTGCGTTCCCCTCTCCAATAACCGACTGTACAGATAAAGAGAGCGGACTGTGTCCAATAGCATTGCTGCCGCTGGACATCTTAGTCAGACTGAAAGGCAGGGAATGGAATCTGTTTTCGGCAGATAAAGTGTTCGTTGGGGGAGGCTGCAGCGGCGGCGAAGAGTGCCCAAACCCAGTAGAGGAGTCGTTAAGGGACTTTGCAGAATCTTCAGCAACTGTTGAATTGTTTTTAAAAAAACAGTAAATAAGCATATGAATTAGAATAATATTTACTAAGTGTCTGAACTAATGCTGCGTGCTTTCTACACAAAAGGAGTAAAATATGCATGGCATCTCTCTCTTGCACTAGATTCTATTCTGAAAGAATGACCTACTTATATTTAAAACAGCATACTCTGGCAATTGCTCAGAAAAAGCCAAGCGAGATGAGGTAACAAGGGACAGGCATTTTCCCCATCATTTTTCCAAAGGAGGGATGGGGGAGAGAACGAAGAGACTCAGGCTACAATCCTATACACACATTTATGGGAGTAAGCCCCACTGGACATAATGAGATCTACTTCCAAGTGAGTATCTATGCTCTTACTCTGACAGAAATCTTCAGAGGAAGCAGAAAGATCAGAAGGACATCAGATTTTTCTTTAATTTGCCAGTCAACAAAACTGATGAACGCTTAGCTGCAGTGTAAGGATGTTACTTTAATTACAACTAAAGGAGTGGTTTTTCTACTAAATTCTATGAAACTGGTGTTCTTGCTACCAGTCTTCTGCGTTGATCCCAACCTGCACATGAATGTTTGTGTTTGTCGGGGTTCTTGCATGCTTTCAGTTCATGCAGGCATCAGAAGTACCAAATAAGTTTGGCCTTTGCTCTGTACGAACTGTACGTACACTCTATAAAGCTTTCCAGTTTCCTCTCCAGTGCACAGGGTTCCTATGGCAGATGGGTTCTTCAGGAGACAAGCTGGCACGGAAAGGGTTCCCTGAACGTAGAAAGTGTGGAGACCACTGTTCTGTATTCTTCAAAATGTAACTTCCAGGGTGCATTCTGCATTTGTGTTGGCAGTTTATTATTATTAAAGAAGACTATGGGGCAACTCATTAACTATAATCCCATATGGGGAGAGATGGAAAGCAATGCATTTGTACTACAGATTTACACTGGTTACACACTACTAGCTTAACTGTTGTGGCTTAAAACATTAGGAATTGTAATTCAGCACAGCTAACAAGAATTCACTTAGAAAGTACTGTTCTCTTTCCTCCATCCCCAAATTACAATTCCCAAAGTTCTCTGGGGAGAAGAGAACATAGCATGTGTGCAGTGTAAATGTTCTCAGAAAAAGAAAATGAAGGAACTGGGGGAAACATATACAACAGAAAGATTTAAACTGAATTTCATGATGCATGTTAGACTTAGCTGGGTCCTGGGTCTGAAAAAACTGAATGCTGCCACTCTGTAATGGAAAAGTCTGTAATTCAAAAACGTAAGTTTGAACCCCAACCTAATTCTAGCAAAGGCAGGACCTGTCAACTCAGAGGTTCCAAATAATAAAGTCACCAACACTACCTGAAGATATGTAAATAAATCATGAGTCAATGCTCAGCATATGAGATCACAAGCTGTGATAGTGGTAAGTTACTATTTATAAGCATCTTGCATCCTGTGCCTACAGTCTAGCTGGTCTAATAAGAAGGCTTGGCTCAAATGTGCACAGAATGTAGCCTAAGGAATTATCTATTATGGCTGAAAAGCTCAAGTTACTATGTGAGATGTGCCAAGTAAAATGCCTTGAGTTATTCAATAAACTTAGGCCAGGATCCAAAGAAGGAAAACTAACACTGTGAGCCCACTCATTTTTCTCAGAGCCCCCAACCATAGCAAACTGCTTCAGAAAAAGAGGGCAATTTTCAAAAGCAGTTTGTATAGGGGTCAGCTGTGCAAATGAGACAGTGAAATAAATTCCCCTGGGCTAGCACCAAGCTCCTCATGTGAGTTTAAGTAGCTCTTTGGATTCTGGCCACTACACAGGATAATAATACACATCTCAACTGAAGTAAGCCCTTTAAAAAGTCTTTTGTTAGGGAGTACACACAAAATGTGGCCAGAATAATCTGAAGGCAGTATATTTAATCATCATATAATTTGTTATTACGCCTGTGATCAAACTTAATGTCTAGTCTCTCATTACCTTCATCAATACACCATGTGTTTTTTGATTTCATCTGTGGTTGGGAATCTACTGAAGAGCCATTTAAAGTGTAGAAAATTTCTGATCTGTTTCTATTTCCAGGGTCTGAGAGTGCACCTAAGACACAAACCATGTCATAAAGGAGACAAAGGGGAGGAAAAAAAAAACATAAAAAATTCTGCATTATGGAAAAAAACAAGCCTTACAGTCCTTTAAACCAAGTCTTCCTGCTAAGCTTATTAAGAGTAGGCTCTGTAAAAATGTCATTACCAGAGTCTAACTTGTACAACTTTAAGAAAGAAACCTGCCAATCATCTGGTCCAATCTCTGCAACAAAGGTATAACCCCCTCCGCACCCATATTGTTAATGTTCTCAGCTTGCATTTTCAAGCTACACAGAGAGAACCTTTCAAGTTGCAAACAATTAACTGTACCTCTTTAACTTCCTCCATCTCCTATTCAGTGGAACTCTGTTCCCTTTATTACTTGCAGGAACAATTCAAAAATATGGAGCTTTCACTTCAGAATGTTTACTTCCAAAGGAACATACATGGAGGATTTAACTGGCCACTTTAGGTTAGAATTACTTGGCCTTTCTGCTCTTAGAGAAGTAGCTGTCTTTATGATGCTACAAGGTTTTGTGGGTTTTTTGCTGCACTGAGATAAACACATTTCTTAATGGATCAGCTTCTGTTGGTTCCTCCATATACCTCCTAAGTGAGAATAAGGTTCACACATTTGATGAAATGGACTCTAGCCCACATAAGTTCCTGCCATAATACATTTGTTAGCCTTTAACATTCTGCAAATTGCAGTAATAACCACTTCTAATGCTTTCCAGAGCAATGGAACAAAGTGCTTTATCCATTTATTATCTTTATTTGTTAAATTAATATTTCACCTTTCCATCAAAAGATGCTGAACAAGAAAAAAATACAAAGCTTAAAAACATCCCTTAAAACCAACACACACAACAGCCAGTTGCCCAAACTGCAACTTTTACCTTGGCTATAACAGTCAACTTATGAGGCTAAATGTTATGTCTGAATAAAAGTGTATTTGCTTCCCAGCAGAAGGTCATCAGAGAAGGGCTAGTCAGGCCTCCCTTGGCAAAGAATTCCAGAGTCTAGAAGCAATCACCAAGGTAGCACTCTCTTGAGTTACCAACGGACGTGCTTAAGATGTTGGCAAGACAGGAAGAGGGACCTCTACCAAAGATCTAAAAAAAAACCCCAGGCATGCTTGAATAGGAAAATATGGTCTTTCAGGTATCTGGTCCCCAAGTCAAGGAGGGCTTTATATGTAGCAACGAGCACTGTGTATTGTGACCAGAAAACAGTCAAGTAACCAGCAAAATTGTTGTAGCATGGGAATTACATGCTCCCTATACCCAGCCCTGGTCAACAGGCTGAGCTGCAGCATTCTGAATCAGCTGATTTCTGAACACTCTTTAAAGGCAGTCACAGGTAGCGTGTTACAGTAATACAAACAATATGCAACTAAGGCATATGTCACTGTGGTCAGAGCCGACTGAAACCAAGCAAAAAATTCTACTTCCATAGCCATGTGTAGGCTATTCATGCACTCAGTCTGGGGGAAGAGAAATCCCTCCCACAGCTTTACAAAACAAGTGCAAGACAGTAAAGTCCTCAGAAATGTTTCACAAGACGTACAATCTAACCTCCTTTGTATGCTAACTATGCAAGCAAATGTAGTATCTTGTTACACATTCCACTTATTGGGGAGCCACTGTTCTACAAAACATGTGGGATCAGTTCTGTGGAAACCCGCCTCTGAACCCACAACTCCAAGGGACTGCATGTCACAATTCTCATGTACAAGGACAGTAGAAATACCTGGCACTTTGCTAAATAGTAGTTGAGTAAAAGTACCTGTAGACTTTGGCTTACTATGATTGAATCCTTTATCACAGCCACTTCTAGATGTAAAGGCAAGTTTGGGAGGTCTCCTGTCTTGAGACACAGCCTCTAAAATAGAGTAGAAGGTTAAGACATCTTACACCACCACACAGTACATAGTATAGATAGCATTAGCTTTAAAGCATCAGTTTAGTACAAAATAGACCTTTAGGATATAAAGCAAGTCACAGTAATACTTGTGAAATCCAGAATTTCTTTCAGATAGTCACTTGGACAAAACTAATCAGTTGCAGGAACACTCACATAAGTAGAAACCATAATATGGAAGGCAGCCTCCCTTGGGACCCATACAAAACTGTTAAATAAGGATGACTATAGCTATTAATATATACTTTTTAAAACACAATGGGACATCTAGCCTAGCCTTTTTTTTTCTTCCAAAATCTCAGGGCATAGCTCAGTTTTACTGACACTGAAGCAAAAAAGCTGGATTTGCTCTCACAGAAGTTTTAGAATATGTTTCCTCCCACACTGCACCAATCAATTATGGTGAACCTTGTAAAATGCTGTATTGAGAAATAACGCAGCCAAAGAAAAATTCCAAAGTGATCACTGGCTTCATGTTATGGTAAGTTTATTTGCTTCATATGTGGTTTGGAAGAAGCAAATACTTATCAAACTTAAAAAAGATAAAAAGCCCCCATCACTGAAACTTTTTTTAAAAAAATCTTTTTGCTGGAGATGTGATTGAACAGCAGCAGCAGCAACAATAAGAAAAAGATTGAGGAGAAGAAAGCTAGGTATGCATTAAAAAGCAGTAATTCAAATAGAAAATATTGTGCTTTTTGCTAAATTGGACTCCTCACCAAAATAGTATGGTTATCATACCCACAGAAGATTGCCATTTACTCTGCATAACATCTGAGGATTTTTAACCATGCCATGTATTCACTAAAGAGTTCAAATGAAATGTGTCTTCATGTTTCATAATCGGAATATAGCTGTTCAATTGCAATTTAACCAAGTTGCCCCTGGGGAGTAACTCTATTAAAACACTTCAGTTACTTTCATTAGAGCTCATCTCTAGCCAGACAGTGAAGAAAACATCTTTTCAAAAGACTGATCTTTCAAGAAAAAACGTCCTAGTAGGTTTCTTTAAGAAAGATGTAGCAGGAGTAAAGCACTGCCTCAAGTTTGTACAATACGACAATTATGCTTAAAATGGCAATCTATAGCATCTTCCTTACAATTAAGAGTCCTATTTCATTTTTTAAAAAACCACTTTGAAGAGTGTGTTGTTTCCAGGTTAATATTTGCTCTCATGTTCTCTAAAGTTCATGTACTGTACATCACAGATCCTGCTGCATCGTATCACTTGAGTAATACATTGCAGTGACCCATCCACCTCAGTTAACTCAAAGCGGTATTAGCTCAAATATAACAGCATTAGTTGCACCTGCAACTTCCTGCTGCAGGAAAGAAACTCTCCTCGGACAGCAGCCTGGCCTCCCTTTTAAATTCCAATTCCAATTCCCCTTTCCCTGGTGAACCTCTAGATTTCTGACACCATCATCTCACAAGACTGCTGTACAAAATTCTAGCCACCCCGGCAGCCTAGCCATGACTTTTTCTGTTTAGTGCAAGGGTCAAAACAAGGCCTGTCCAACAAACTAGAATTATGCTTATTCCTCCCTGTGGTTCAACTTAGTAGATCCTGACTGGACAAACCACCAAATCGCTCCCTGTTCGGGGAGGGTATTTGTTAACCCTGCCACATAGTCAAAAACTCAAGCAGCGAAAGCTTCCATATTGTAGCTCCATATGCAGCATAGAAGTGACCATGCAGCAAGAGCTTCTGAACAGAAAATGCAGCACTCTAATAACAGGGAAGAAAGAACAGATTGCCTGTGGCTCCAAGCACTACTCACAAGTGCCAATTCTTTTGTTGGAGCATATGTGGGCATCGCTGGAACATATTCCTTTGAAGAAAGTGTAAGAAAACAATCCAGTGCACAGTGCCCTTCTGATTAAGCAAATATTACTGCATGAAAAATGCAGAACCACCCGGAAAGGCATTTATGTGCTATTTTTCATTATCTATGTATGGCCTTTAAAATACTGACTGGGAGACACATAATTATGTAGACTCAGTTATTAGCGGCAAATAAGAACGGTTTTGCCTTTTCCCTACCACATACAATACAGTGGATGCTCAGGTTGCGAACGTGATCCGTGCGGGATGCAAGTTCACAACCCACGTCTGTGAGCAGGCTGCAATTCGGCACTTCTGCGCATAGTGAGATTTAGCGCTTCTGCGCATGCGCGACTGCTAAAACCCGGAAGTAACCCATTCTGGTACTTCCGGGTTTCAGTCCATAACCCGAAAAAACGCAACCTGAAGCGGCTGTAACCCGAGGTATGACTGTACTGCAATACAGCAGTAAAATTCATCAAATGAGAAAACCCAGTGCCACATTGCAGTGAGCATAAGCCTTCAACCTTCAAATTCTAACACCAGGAAAGGGCCAAGGAACCACCAATACCAAAATACAGCACTATGTTACTATGGCACATCATAGTGAGAGGGAAAGAAGGGAGATGCATATACAGAAGCATGTAGGAGTCACAGGAGCATATCCAGAAATAAAGCAAGACAAGGCAGCAAAGCAATAATATAACCAATCAATAGTTTAATGGAGTTCCCCCCCACCCCCATATATGTTTAAGACTAAAGCAAAATGATTGAATCCTGAGCAACATTAAAACTACGATTAGATGCAATGATGTGTGCTAAGAACTGGGGTTTGCTCACTTTTCTTTTTTATAGACAAAATATACAAATTGTACCTGGAATAACATCATTGATATGCAAGAGAAGTGTGCTTTCAACACTTGCAAAACTGCAGAGCTGTTGTCCATTGTATCTTCCATCCCAATTTCCAATTGGATTATCCTAAAAATCGTTTTAAAACACCATTACACGTTGCCCAAGTGAAGATACTCAAGAAACCATCTACATGGTTCAATTAAAGTTCTTGGCTACATGCAGCCCAGACAGGAAGCACAAGCTTTCACAAGAAATGCAAACACTTGCTCTGCAACAACATTTCAAGTGTCACACTTGTAGTGTTGTCATTTCGTCTTCCACATTTAGAGAAACAGATTGCATTCTGCAATGTTGTTTGGTTACAAATGTGCCACAGACACTAATACACTGATGATGGCAACATTGAAACAAAAGCAAAAAACACTCCTCCCAAGTGGTGGGAGAAAAGCCAAGCAAAGTTTGTCAGCAGCACAGAAGTTCCACGACTGAAGCCAGAAGTTTCACAACTGAAGCCATTCACAACAGGTACATAAATGGCTTTCATGCCTGAAGGATATATTTCATCTCTCTGGCATTAAGAGGCAGCTTCCAGCACTGGGAAGACTTGCCTACTTCCTTAAAGAGCAAGGGTGAACAAGTACATTAAGGTGCAATTTTTTCCATGTTGAATGCCTACTAATATTCCAAGAGTGTGATAGTTCAGTTTCATTCTCTTTATTTCAAGCCTCAGTAAGTCTTCTGGTTTCAAAACACAAGTAGGAGAAAGATGAGGATCAGCATATGTTACTGTAGTGCTTGAGAACTGCACTCAACATACACAATTACATTACGCCAGAGCCTCGCATTTTCCTTGCAGGCAAAAATTGACGTGGCTGTATTTTCAGAGGAAAACTATAAAAGATCAGTAGTGCCAACCCTGGAACATTATTTAGCAAAGCAGGCTGGTCATTAGAAGCAAGAAAATGGGTATTTTGCCTGGCTAGTGTCAGGTAAGATTTAGTAAGGCCCTGTAAATAAGCCCACATAAGTTACTAGTGCATACAATAAATTTACTAGCCTGCCTAATGTGGATACACATGGGCAATCATTTATGGCTCAGCAAGGGAGAAATAAAACTTTAGTAAAGCTGCACCATCTGATCCCCTGGAGGAGATTCTTTCTTGCCATGCACGATCAGGCAAGTGGATGTTCCCAAGCCTAACTCAATACATTTTTACCCAATGCTAAAAAAAAGCTGCTGGGTGGCAATTATACATAGCAATCGAGAGCCATAAGTAGCTTGCCAATATTCCATCTCTCCCCACCACTATTGCATGTACTTCTATTTAACACACATGCAAAAAGTTAAGAATCAGGTTAATTTCTTACCATGTCCACTCCAACAACGTATCCTAAACTCTCGTTTCCTGGTAAGACATCACAGAATATAACTGTCCCATACTCTATATTCTTTCCTATCTTCACAGAAACCCTGGAGTTGAGCTCCAAAGGAGGAAGTTCTACCTGCATTGAGTCAACTGGAGCTGCATAGTCATTCTCCAGCTCATTGTCATCATCTTCCATCAGCTCTAGTTTGTCTAGTGCAACAAACACACCACAGTCCTCGTCACATCTGAACAGCTGTTTGCCTTGGTACTGTCCATCAGTAAAACCCTGACCACGGCCTTCTTCCTAGGTTTGCAGGAGAAAAAAACATAGCTCATTAAGAACTGTCATAGGAGTAATTAAAATATTGGTCTTCGGGGAGACAGAGGTTGAACCCTATGCCTGGTCGTGAGGTTCATCCAGATCTTAGGATGGTTGCTCAACACTCTGAGCCCAACCTACCTGACAAGTTAGTTGAGAGGATAAAATGGTGTGGGGATCAATACACTTTGGCCTCTGCTCCTCAGAGGAGAAATAGGATACAAATATACTAAGTAAATAGACTCATACTATGCACCTTTTCAGAATGTTTCTACAGCAACACACAGTGTCTGTTTGACTCAATGCACAGAGCCTTAGAAGAAGAAAACTTACCAGAAGCTCCACTCCAAAAAATATCCCAGAGAGTGATCTTTCTTGTATTAATGGTCCTCTGAAGCGAACAACTCCAGGATATTTCTCATCACCTAATCGCAGCTGTACTTTCACCGGTGAGCCGACATCAATGTGCAGACCCTTGCTCAGTCTACCTTTACTTTTAAATATACTGTATCTCTCCTCACAATTGGTAATTGCCAACAGCAGTTCTGCTCGTTTCTCATCTATATCAACAACTTCTTTTTCTTCCACGAAGAGGACCACATGGGGCTGCTCCAAAATCTTGATTCCTATCTGCAATTTTTTGCTTTTTGACGAAGGGTTGCTTCTGGTGTGTCCTCCTGAAGAACGGTCTTGAACGAACTGGCCAATGCTTCCCTTGGGTACTTTCAACAGTTTTTGAGTCTGTTTGTCTACAATGCTGCATTCCTGGAGAAGCAAATAAAATATACGCTCTTCCCAATAGGACATGCTGCCTTTTTTTTTTAACTCCACAAACCTAGATTCAATATGGTTCAAGCTTTGTATGAGTACAAAGAAGAAACGTTCAAGAAAGCCAAGTTGCCAACATAACTGCCAAGAAATTAGATGCTCCTACTAAAAGGCCCCTGTTCGATTTCCCATAGTGAGTTAATGATTCTTCATCCATGTCCTAATGAGCTAAATCCAGAACGGATGACCTGGACACAAAAATAAAAGATAGTATCAGTGGCAGCTGAAGGATGTCATAGTAAGAACAAAGCAAAAGAAAACAAACCACTTTCAAAAGAAACAACACAGGTTTTTATAGATCTATGACAGCAACCAGCTGGCAAGAGAGAGATATTTGGGTAGCCACAAAGGTCATGCTGAAGATTTCATCTGCATAATAAAACTGACCTAATGCTATATTTGCAGCCTCACCTTCATTGTGACTGGAGATATCTGGTCAATATAATCCTTATTTAAAACTTGAACAAGTGCACACCTGTTTCTGCTTTGCTACTGCAGACTAGAATAGTTTCCCCATTTTTAAGAAGAATGAACCCAATACACAGGATTCATTTGTTTATTGTTTTGGAAAGAGACAGACAACAAGAAATATATCACCGCACAGAGGACTACAATGCAAGTTCACAGAAGTACAGCTCAATTTTTTTTGCACACAAAAGAGATTCACAATACAGTTTCACAAAAGCAGCAAGTGGATTAACCATTTCCAGAAATAGCTTGGTGGCAATGAACTCAATAGTCATCCTCAGATTGAGTCAAAAAGTTGTTCTTAGTATGACATGTTTCCCAAAGAAGCACAGAACAAAATAAATCAGAGACGAAATACTTAACTATTAGAGATTGTTCTTTATAGGTGCCTTCCAGCTAAACTGGCTGTAAAAGGATCCTCTAAGATGAGAATCAAGGGAGGTTTGAATCCCCATCCCCAACTTGCAAGACCATTAAACAAACACTACCACATATAAATAATATACACATGCTTATTTAACTGCTCAGTTTTTCTATGCGACTCTTCCCATGCTGTGCGGGGCTGTTTGCAAAAGTGCTTTCAATTACCCCATGCTTTGCTTTGAAGTCCTAACAGTCAGGGTTTCAAAGGGCAGCATCACCTGCTGTCACTATGGTGTTTGGTGACTGACAAGTGGGTGGCTCCATCCACCTGTCAAATTTGACCCTTCAACTTGCTCCTTCCCCAAAAAATGTCCCTGGGTGGTTGTTTTTTATGTACACACCTAAAGCAAGCTATATGATGGAAAGTTGCATATGCACCCTCAAACACCTATTTAATTTTTTTAAAAAAATTATTATTTAAATTAGCCACTCTGGGCGGCTCCCAATCAGTGTTAAAAACAGTACAGCGTTACATATTAAAAACCATGGTGGTTAAATGTTACTGCACTGCACTGAAGGCTGCAGGATGAGAACAAATGATGAGGAAAAGTCATCACTGTGTTTCTGATTGACCCAGAAGAATCTGGTGGGGCTGCTGTTGGAAGGAGGATGCTTAATTATGGTCTGATACAGTAAGACAGTTCTTAATCTTTTGACAGAAGAAACAGAGAAAATCTAGAGCAGAAATACTACTCAACTGTGTGTTTATTTCTGAACAGGGAAACTGCCCTATACCACTGTTCCATCTAACCCAATATTGTCTGTACAAAAAATGGGGAACCTGTGCCGCCCCCCCCCCATGTTGCTGAACAACAACTCTCATCATCCCTAGCGAGCATGGTCATGCTTACTGGTGCTGATGGGAGTTGTAGATCACTAACACCTGGAGGGCCAAAGTCCCCCCATCAGTGTTGTAAACTGACTGGCCACAGCTATCCAGTGTTTAAAACAGAAATATTCCCCAGCTGCACCAGGTGAAGAACCTCAGGTCTTCTGAATGCAAAGTGTGTGCTCTGCCTCTGAACTATGACTTGCTCTCACTCTTCGTTTGCGGAGCATTTAGGACATATGGGCAGCTCATATTGATGATGAAGTGGTTTAATGAGTACAGTAGACTCTCTCTTTATCGCCCTTGTCTTGTATGTTAGAAGAGGTTTTTTTAAATAAATAAATCCACAAGTGACAGGGGTAGGGTGGGGGTGGGGTATGTATGAGGCTTTTTGGCAGATGCACCTTCACTGTAGATTTTTCTACCTTATATAAGTTTAGTAGGCCAGACCTAATGTTTGTTTTATGAAACTGATGAAAGTTTATTTCAGCAGGCATTTGGGAGTGCACAGCAAAGTTACATTTTAATAACCTGGGGTTGTTTTGTTTGCTGGCAATTTGATGTTTATACAGGCTTTACAATGTTATGATTTTTATTCCGTTTATTTTTGGTATCACGTTTAATTGTACTGTGGTTTCGTTGTTCTCTTATGCTACGTCATACATTACCCAGAGGACAACTTGAAAACAAGAGCATGAAGGCAATAGCCCTCCCTCATTTTATTTATTAGTATCACAATTGGTATTCAGAGGTAAACAACCTTTGAACATGGAGGCTCTATTTAGCTACTATAGCTAACAGCCAGTTACAAATCTACCCTCCTCCTCCATAAATATGCCTAATTCTATTTTTGTTTATTTTTTAAAATAACCACTTAGGCAAGCCATCACCACACCTTGTGGGATATAATTCCTCAGACTCTTATTTCCTTAAAAAATTACTGTGTGGCATACACTTTTGCTATTTATTTTTTTAGCTACATTTATAACCTTTCTTTCTCCCCACCCCAAAGAACTCAAGGCAGCAAAGAATGGCCACCTGTCCATTTTATCCCGTGAGGTAGGTTGGCATGAAAGATGCTCAGTCTAAAGGTCAGCTTTTCAGCTGAGGGCAAAATCAGAGCCCAGGTCTCCCCAGCCCGAGCTGCAACACTAAGGCACCACTGTGGTATAGCAGCATAACTCACTTTGTGTATCCAATGAAGTATCATTATCAGTGAATGTATAACATGCATGTACATATACATAGGCGCACACCTTCGGAGAGGATGGAAACACTCAGCCCCATAGGCTATAATATTCAAAATTTGTACTGTCTGTGGTACTTCTATGCAAAGCATAACAGAAGCACAGTGATAGTGCAACATGCCAGAATCTGGCCATAACACAGCATCAAAGGTATGAATATGTTGCGGCCAGATATTTCTGTGGGAAATGGTTACTGTGATTGTACATGTTTGATTTCTGTGTAGAAATGGTACACACTCTCTGTACCCAATGAATTTCTTGACCTTTGGGGCACATTGTTAAACGCTCCTTTGCAACATCTGTCTGCATCTCTCAACATGATGGACAGCAACTCCCAACATTCCTCACCCTTAGTCAGACTGGTGGGGCTGATGGGAGCCCAACAACATCTGAAAGGCACCATATTGGCTATACCTGCAAGGGAGTGCTGGACTAGAACCTGGAAGTCCAGGGTTCAAATCCTCACTCAGCCATGACTTAACCTACCTCACAGGGTTGTTGTGATGATAGAATGGAGAGTTCCTTCTAGCAAACTAAATAAATAAATCAGGCAAACAGTTCACACATCTTACAAAGAGGGATCTGGACCAGTCCACAAAAGCTTCTGCCACAACAAGTATGTCAGACTTTTGAAGTGAAAAGGACTCAATTTTGTGGGCTTTCTGCAACACACACAAACTTGGCTACCCCCTTGGAACAAGTTAACTATGCATGCTGTATGGAAAAAGCTGTTTGGCAGTTGATTTCAGAATTAAATGTAAAAGAATCACCAAAGTAAGATAACTAAATACTGTAGAAGACAGATGAAAAATACCCACTCCCCCCAAAAAGCACATGAAAATAAAAACACATTTGCCAAACAACATAAGAAAAAATAAGAAACTACTTCCTCCAAATAAAAATCAAGTAAGAACACAAACAAATATTTGTTGCCAATACTACTACTACTACAATGATCATCAAGCAACAACATCAGTGTGCATGGCACTTTACAAAGTGCAAGAGGGCAGGTCCCTGCCCTGAAGACGCCTCCAATTAAAACTGAGTTTAGCATTTTAATGCTATAATTGTACATTGCCTGAAGCCTGTGTGAACCACTCAGAGGCCTTTGTTGACATGGCGGCCAGCTAATATGCTAAATACAGTACTGTACAATTTTTAAAAATTCAACACTATGGAAGGGAAGTGGGAGCTGAGGTATCCAACTAAATTCTTATGCCACTGGTGGTCATTTTCTTCCATGGGTTTAGGCTGAGTAGAACAAGGATTGTCTATAACCAATATTAGTTGCTTAATAATAATGAGTAGTATTTGTATCCAACTATGTTCTTATTCAGAGCAGATCCACTGAAATTAATAAACTTGTCAGCCATGTCCATTTTACTTCAATGGATCTGCTCTGAATAAGACTAGGATTGTCAATAACCAATGATGGTGAGGATGAGAGGTAGTATTTGTATCCAACTAAGTTCTAGCTCAGAGTAGACTCAGTGACATTAATGAACCCATACCATGTCCACTTACTTCAATGGGACAAGTCTGAACAGGACTAAGATTGTCTACAAGTAATATTAATTTGATTGTAATATATAATATCCACACCCAACTATTCAATTCCAGCTCAGAATGGACCCACTGAAATTAACAAACCTAAGGCAGTCATAGGGACGCGGGTGGTGCTGTGGGTTAAACCACAGAGCCTAGGACTTGCCGATCAGAAGGTCGGCGGTTCAAATCCCCGCGATGGGGTAAGCTCCCATTGCTCGGTCCCAGCTCCTGCCCACCTAGCAGTTCGAAAGCACCTCAAACTGCAAGTAGATAAATAGGTACCGCTCTGGCGGGAAGGTAAACGGCGTTTCCGTGCGCTGCTCTGGTTCGCCAGAAGCGGCTTAGTCATGCTGGCCACATGACCCGGAAGCTGTACGCCGGCTCCCTCAGCCAATAAAGTGAGATGAGCGTCGCAACCCCAGAGTCAGCCACGACTGGACCTAATGGTCAGGGGTCTCTTTACCCTTTAAGGCAGTCATGGCCACTTACTTCAATGGGCCTCCTTCTGAGTAAAACTAGGCTGGTCTACATCCAATAATGATTTTATACTGGTAACAAAATAATAATAATAATAATAATAATAATAATGGCCAGTACTGTACAGTATATGTACCCAACCACTCTCTATTCCAAAGAAGACTCCCTGAAATCAATGAACCTGCTATGCCAACCATGGCCATTTATGGTCTAGTGCTAGGCCAAGTAGGATTAAGACAATCTAACTAAGCCAATAATAATTTTATGGTCATCATCAACAGCATCACGGGTAAACATTTGCACTTGGCTAAAATTCAAGCTCAGAGGCTGGTCCAGAGCGGGAGTCCGCGAGCCCCTCTGCCAGCCGCGTCCAATGCGCCTACGCTGAGTAGGACCAACATTGGCCCGTAACTAAGAATAATAAGGATTATACAGAAAGCGAAAGGAAATATGAAGGGGGAGGCAGCGCAGGTATTCCCCTCCCTCCCTCTCTCCCGGGACCCGCAATGGGCGCTCCATTACGTTCCTTCTCCGCGAATGCTACTCGCCGCCGGAGCCCCACCCCAGAAGAGGCTGCAATCGCCTCCCCGCCGCCGCCGCCACCCCAACCACTGCTCCGCCTCCGGCCCAGCGGCGCTGCCGGCATTACCATCCTCCTGCTGCTCCCTCGCGGCTCAGGCCGCAGCCGCCGCCGCTGCCCCTCCCGTCTCCCCGCCGCCGCCGCCGCCGCCTCAGGGGTTCCTCCTCACCCGCCGCCTCCGCCTCCTCCACCTCCTCGCCTTCCCCATCCTCGTCCCCTCAGAGGCGCAGGCAGCGGCTTCAAGGCGCGCACCCTACCCTGCTCTTGCCACCGCTGATGCTGCCATTCCAGCTCTCCCTCCCGCCTCCTGCCGCTCGCCGCCGGTTCTTCCTGCCTATTGGCTGCCTGGCCCAAGCCAACCCCCGCCCCTGCTCTCCGCCGACGGAGGGAATTTCCAAGGCCAAGCTTGGTTGCAGGCGCAGCAAAATAAATAAATAAAACCAAAGAGCCCCCTCGGATTGGCTGAGCCGGCGGGTTTCTGCCTGCTCAGTGGTTGTTTGGAAAGAAGGCGGGTGCACCTCTACCACCTATAAAAGGAGAGATGCGCTGGTTAAATTGGCTGAATCATCCGTGCTCCCGCCTACGTCCCTTTGCTATTAGTTGTTGTCAGAGCGGCGGGGGTGGGGAGTGGGGACCGAGGGTGGGTTTTAATTGGATAAAATGTGGCCTAGCCCCCGCTAGCGATTGGCTGCAGTATGGAGGCATAGAAAGCCTTTCAGTACGTAAAGGGGATGGCTGGTGGGTTCCGTCTGTTCCGTTTCTCCAGCTGGACTTACTGCTGGTTTCTTGATGGACAGGCAGGGTAGACAGGCAGGGATTGCTATTTATTTGTTCCAGTTCCAAACTTTAAAAGAAGAAGAAAAAAGCAGAGAGATTGATTTTAAAAAGAAGTTTGCAGATGTTCTTTTTAATTTAAAAACTGCATTTAAAACTCTTTACATCTGAACATCAGTACAGTGGTACCTCGGGTTACATACGCTTCAGGTTACAGACTCTGCTAACCCAGAAATAGTGCTTCAAGATAAGAACTTTGCTTCAGGATGAGAACAGAAATTGTGCTCCGGCGGCGCGGCGGCAGCAGGAGGCCCCATTAGCTAAAGTGGTGCTTCAGGTTAAGAACAGTTTCACGTTAAGTACGGACCTCCGGAACGAATTAAGTACTTAACCCGAGGTACCACTGTACTTTAAAAGAACGAGCCAAGTAGCCTAATGTTGAGAGTTTTTTTAAAAAAAACAACAACTAATAAATTGGTTTGTCACGCCTCTGCATGCCCAGGTTTCCTCCCCACATCCCATCTCTCAACCCTAGACAATGTGACACACTGCAAAGGGCTGTAGCTGAATGGCAGAGCATCTGCCTTGCATGCAGAGCATCCCAGGTCCCATACTTGAGATTGCTAGGTGAGTCTGAGAGAGAACAGTGTCTTAAAACCCAGGACAGGGGTCTGCAACCTTTAAGACAAAAAGAGCCACTTGGACCCATTTCTGAAGAAAAAAACAAACTGGGAGCCGCAAAACCATTGCGACATTTAAAACAAATATATCTCCGGAGCTGCGATCTGACAGCGGGCGGGAAGGTGACGTCGGGACGGTGCGTGACTAACACACGCACCGCCCCCATGCAACATCACAGCAAGTACAGCGCCCGCCACAGTGGGGAGTGTCGGGGTGCACAATGCGCCTCCTCCCCTCGCTAGTATCCGCCCCGGAGCCGCGGCAAAGGTGTAAAAGAGCCACATGCGGCTCCGGAGCCGCGGGTTGCAGACCCCTGACCCAGGAGATCCACTGCCAGTCACTGCTGACAGTACTGAGCTGGAGAGAGAGCAATGGAGTTTAAGAAGTAAGGCACATTTATTAACTTCAGCTAGAATAGGGATAGAACTTGGAAAACCTTGCAATTAATGAATTGTTCACTGTTCCGGCAAACAGCCATAATGGAAAAGCTGTCCCAAAAACTGGAGGTGGCAAGGGGAGAGAAAAAACAATATCATTTTTACACTATATGGTATGATTTCGTTAAATATACAGATGAAACAACACATGGATGAGAAATTCCTACAACTGACATTGCAATATGGTGTAAATAAGCAGGCAGTACTCTTTAGCTCACTCTTATTATCTTGTGCTTTCAGAGTTGATTTATTGAGGAATCCACTGAAGTGGTTTACTGTAATCATCTCATTATTATGTATTGCAAAATAATGTGTTTAGAATTTTATCCCCACCCCAATGATCCATTTTCTGTCAATGTCATGTTTTATGATTTGTGTACAATTCTGTAAGAGAAAAAGAAAAACAGAAGAGCAATGGTGTAACCCACTGTAAGGCAGCTTCCTATGTTCAAATGAACAGCTGTCTCCCAAGAAATGTTTTGCATGAAAAAAAATCAGTTCTTGGCATCTCCGGGTAGGGCTAGGAAAAGACTCCTATGTGAACCCTAGAAAGCTGCTCCTGCAAGTCCCAGTACTGAGGGCATTTCCAGACTGCTGCTGTTCTGCAGTCAATCACATACCAGCAAGTTCAAATTGTGCAACTGGAGTCGATTTTGAGCTCTCATTGCACAACAAACCTGCTTCCCCTACTTTTTTTTTTTAAAAAAATGACTTTTGCAATAAGGAAAGTGATGGAAAGATGTACTGGAAAGTGTGGGATGACATTTGCTTAACACAAATGTGATCTAAACAAATCAGGATGAATACTTGAAAAATAGGTGGTGCTGCCTAACCTCCCTGAGAACTTTGTGCAAGCAAATCAGGGCAATTTTTCAGTAAACAGATTGTCTAGAAGAGACTTTAGTTCAATGAAACAATGGTCTGGCTCCCTATGTTTCCTAGGTCTCTATGTCCTGCTGACCGCCGCAATAGGAGGGGTGTTACCTAGAGAGGCCCGGAGGGCTGCCTTTGGCCCCAAGGCCAGAAGTTCCCCTTCACCCTACTTTGGGTTGATTAAATCGCAGTTTAAAATATCCCTGAGAAGCACAATCTTCTGCATGTTTACTCAGAACAGTAGCCCCGCTGGGTTCTGTGAATTTTACTCCTAGGAAAGCATGTTGGCCGAAGTATTTCTATCTTTGACATAATGAACAGCTGGCAAGACTAGATGGGTCAATGAGATTGAGATTTGATTTAGATTTGAGATAATTTAGATTTGAGATAATGAGTTTTATTCCATATGTCAAAGTGCAAAAATCTGGACACAAAAGTTATTGAGTTTTTCGTTGTTCATCTTCTGTCATGGTCTTTCAACACTTTCATCATGCATGGGCTGCCATACATCCAGATTTTCCTGGACATTCACTGATTTTCCACCCGGATGCTGTTTACGAGGGCCGAATACCGGCTATGTCTGGGAAATTCAAAACGTATGGCAACCCTATATATTGTTACCTTTTTAGGTCAACTACAGCCATGTTGATTTTCAAGGTGAGAGCAGAGTAGATTTGAAACCCCTACCTATTAACTGATAAGTACGGTCCTAGTGGGACACTTTAAATCCAGGCTTGGACACTTAATCACTAGCAGCTAAATATACCACTTTTTGACCATTGAAGTGTGCTTCACTGGCTCTCAGGCAGAAATCCTTGCTGAGTCAAGTGTGTAGCTCTCCATGGTCTTCCATTGCAGTTATGTGAGCAGAGCAGGGAAGTGATTAATAGCAATTGCATTGCTACAATTAAAAAAACCAACCCAAATAATAAAAATAAATATTTATTAGGTGTCTCAAAGCAACTTACACAATAAAAATAGAAAGAGCAAAGGTGTTGAGATCAAACATAAAAACAGCAATAAACTCATCCCAAAATATGACTCATGGGTGAGGACTCTGAAAAATGAGTGAAAATGTGACCCACCTGGGTAGGAGCTGAAAAACAAACAAAATCATGGGTCACATTTTTGCTCATTATTTGAAGTCCTGGTTGATGGGCCACATTCTTGCTCATTTTTGGGAAACCTGTCCAGCAAGCACCAACTGGCAGCAGCATGTAGAAAGAGGCTGCAGTTTGCACTATTATGCCACCAGATGGCAGCTGTGGGTAAAAAAAGGGCGTACCACCAGGTGGCAGCAGCGTGTAAACAGAGAAAGCAATTTTGCAATACAGTGGTACCTCGGGTTACATGTGCTTCAGGTTACAAACGCTTCAGGTTACAAACGCTTCAGGTTACAAACTCCACTAACCCAGAAATAGTACCTCAGGTTAAGAACTTTGCTTCAGGATGAGAACAGAAATCGTGCTCTGGCAAGCAATGCGACAGCAGCAGGAGGCCCCATTAGCTAAAGTGGTGCTTCAGGTTAAGAACAGTTTCACGTTAAGAACAGACCTCCGGAACGAAATAAGTACTTAACCCGAGGTACCACTGTACTGTACGGTACTGGGTCACAGGGCAGCTTGTTGTTGTTTAGTCGTTTAGTCGTGTCCGATTCTTCGTGACCCCATGGACCAGAGCACGCCAGGCACCTCTGTCCTCCACTACCTCCCGCAGTTTGGTCAAACTCATGCTGGTAACCTCGGAAACACTATCCAACCATCTCGTCCTCTGTCGCCCCCTTCTCCTTGTGCCCTCCATCTTTCCCAGCATCAGTGTCTTCTCCAGGGAGTCTTCTCTTCTCATGAGGTGGCCAAAGTACTGGAGCCTCAGCTTCACGATCTGTCCTTCCAGTGAGCACTCAGGGCTGATTTCCTTAAGAATGGATGCGTTTGATCTTCTTGCAGTCCATGGGACTCTCAAGAGTCTTCTCCAGCACCATAATTCAAAAGCATCAATTCTTCGGCTATCAGCCTTCTTTATGGTCCAGCTTTCACTTCCATACATCACTACTGGGAAAACCATAGCTTTAACTATATGGACCTTTGTTGGCAAGATGACGTCTCTACTTCTCAAGATGCTGTCTAGGCCTGTCATTGCCCTTCTCCCAAGAAGCAGGCGTCTTTTAATTTCGTGGCTGCTGTCACCATCTGTAGTGATCATGGAGCCCAAGAAAGTAAAATCTCTCACTGCCTCCATTTCTTCCCCTTCTATTTGCCAGGAGGTGATGGGCCCAGTGGCCATGATCTTCGTTTTTTTGATGTTGAGCTTCAGACCATATTTTGCGCTCTCCTCTTTCACCCTCATTAAAAGGTTCTTTAATTCCTCCTCACTTTCTGCCATCAAGGTTGTGTCATCTGCATATCTGAGGTTGTTGATATTTCTTCCGGCAATCTTAATTCCAGCTTGGGATTCATCCAGCCCAGCCTTTCGCATGATGTATTCTGCATATAAGTTAAATAAGCAGGGAGACAAAATACAGCCTTGTCGTACTCCTTTCCCAATTTTGAACCAATCAGTTGTTCCATATCCAGTTCTAACTGTAGCTTCTTGTCCCACATAGAGATTTCT